CACATATACATATATATACATATATATACATATATATATATACTGTATATGTGTGTGTGTGTGTGTGTGTGTAAAGTCAGAGGTCACCTGTTTTGACTTGTTCACTGCAAGATGATGCTATTATTTGTTGTACTGACAGAAACCAAACCCTTCAGTATGTACCCCATGACCAAATAGGAAAATGGCGCTATCTAGTGGCCACAATAGATAGAAAACCTCCTAATCCTTCCAGGAAAGACATAATGCTTAAAATAAACTTATACAAAGGATACTATAAAGAGTACAAAGCAAATATAAAAAGGTTCCCCGTATTTGAATTTTCTCACATAGAATATCAAGCATATTTCATGCAAATGTACATTTATTGTTCAAACTTAATCAGTTGCGAAAATTGTTGCATTTACTCAACTGTTTAGTGGAGCCAATTGATTTAACTTGGTTAAGAAAATTAAACGCCTCGTTTTTTTAGAGTGCATAAACAACTCCTTTCATGATGATTTCCAGTCATGTTTAATTTTGCAGCATGCAACAAGATGTTAGATTTTAAAGGAAGTAAATCTTGGTAAAATGCAGATCCTCAAAATAAATTTACTTAAATACTGTAACAAAGTAAATGTACGTTGTTACTCTGGGATGTACACCTGATCACAGCATCACACATACACCTCAACACTTCTGATGAAGTACACTTAAAATGTTAATTTACTTTGACAGAAGAAATTTATTATCAAATAACAAAAACAAACAGAAACTGGAGACATTTTTCATATCAGTTTGTCAAAACACGACACTGAAAAACCCAGAACATTTAGAGACCAAAGCTAGCAGCTGAAAAACTAACAAGTATCAACTTAAGATAAAAATGATTAGTCACATTTAAAGTTTACGTTACTAGTTTCAGGTAATACTTTTTTAATGAAAGTATTGCAAGTCCTTGAGAAGCTCCCTAATCTTTGTAGGAAAATGTTCAGTCAGAAAGTTTCTGCATATTTTTACAATAATAATGTCACTCAGGTTGTTCTTTAAACAGAATACATAAGATCAGTACAAAGACTTAACTGGTACGTAAGTGTGTACCCAATATATCGGTATTTTCTGAGGATTTAAGTACTTACTGGGTACCTACCCACCCAGCACATACCTGATATATACTAGTGTTTATCAGGCTGTTTTATGCATTGTTATCCTTTAAACCAGAACATAATTTAATCAAGTAAACTCAGTTTTTGCAGCTGCTCTTTTTCCTTCAACTTTCTCTGTTGACAGCGCATCAAGTCAACAGTTTTACAGAAAAAGAAAAAAGTCCGTATAATATACGATCGTGTAGCTTTACAACATAACCCCAGTTTTTAACGGGTCTACAGCTCGATGGCAGCAGAGTCCCCAAAGTACTGGGTAAATATCTCCGGGTGAGCTTGGTAGAACTGTCTGAGGAGGCGTTTCCTCTCCTTGCTGGATATCTTCGTGTCCAGGTTGATGTTGTTCAGGAGCACTAACAGTTCTCGGTTCGTAGTCGTCTCCGTGTGAGTCCTGCTGGAAGCCTGCGGGCTGATCGTAGAACCTGATGGAACAGAGATATATCGAGTTTAGTCTGGTTCTAAAGCAACCGCTTGATTTGTTGTTGAATTCTGTCGTTTTCTGTAGGAACATCCCTGAATAAACAAACAAACAGAAAGTCTTTCATGTGTGGAAGCTGAGCAAAAACTAAACCCTCTAAATTAGAAATATAATAATAAATATAATAGAGTTGAATTGTTTAAAAGAACTTTGGCATATTCTACTCTAATTCTAGACATTTTAAATTAAAAATCCTTTGTAAACATATAGAAACGAATGACTAAAACAAAACTGTTTAATCTTGAAAATCTGCTTAAATATMCATTAAAACCTGAAATAAAAATGGAGAATACAATATTTTCTTTGTTATTCTTTGCAGAAAAACATGTAGGATGATTCAGACGACTTATTTTTGTTTCCAAAAACACAAACAAACTAGGGGTGCACCGATAGATCGGCCTGATTCCCTTAATTTTAGGTGATCTGCGATCGGCAGATTTTTACGAGAAAAAAATTTTTTCTGCCGATTTTATCTACTTTCGCGAAGTTCCAAAAATCAGCTGCCTGTCCCCTTTTCCTCTGCTGTGAGAGAGGCTGACAGACCCGCCCACCAAGTCACGTCATCTGCACATGCGTTGTTACAGTTCACTCAGAGCAGGCGTTATGTCGCTGGTCTGGCAGTATTATACTGTTAAAGAAAACGACCGAAAGGTAGCTATTTGCAATATACAGTGGTGTGAAAAAGTGTTTGCCCCCTTCCTCATTTGCTGTTTTTTTGCATGTTTGTCACACTTAAGTGTTTCGGAACATCAAACCAATTTAAACAATAGTCAAGGACAACACAAGTAAACACAAAATGCAATTTGTAAATGAAGGTGCTTATTATTAAAGGAGAAAAAAATCCAAACCATCACGACCC